ATATATATATATATATATATATATATATTATATATATATATATATATATATATATATATATATATATATGCAAAACAACGATGGGGAGTACAATGATAGCTCTAGGCCTTTCGTGTTGCAATCAACACATCATCAGGAGCTTGCAAAGTTGGAGAGGCAGTAGAGTAGAAGCAGGATGCAGGAGAGGCAGTAGAGTCAGGGGAGAGGCAGTAGAGTCAGGTGGAGAGGCAGTAGAGTCAGGTGGAGGAGATATGGGAAGGGAGTAGAGTCAGGTTGAGAGGCAGTAAGTCAGGTGGAGAGGCAGTTAGAGTCAGGGGAGAGGTAGTAGGAGTCAGGTGGAGAGGCAGTAGAGTCAGGTTGAGAGGCAGTACAGTCAGGTGGAGAGGCAGTACAGGTGGAGAGGCAGTAGTCAGGTGGAGAGGCAGTAGAGTCAGGTGGGAGAGGCAGTACAGGTGGAGAGGCAGTAGTAGGTGGAGAGGCAGTACAGTCAGGTGGAGAGGCAGTACAGGTGGAGAGGCAGTAGTCAGGTGGAGAGGCAGTACAGTCAGGTGGAGAGGCAGTACAGGTGGAGAGGCAGTAGTCAGGTGGAGAGGCAGTAGAGTCAGGTGGAGAGGCAGTACAGGTGAGAGGCAGAGTAGTCAGGTGGAGAGGCAGTACAGTCAGGTGGAGAGGCAGTACAGGTGGAGAGGCAGTAGTCAGGTGGAGAGGCAGTACAGTCAGGTGGAGAGGCAGTAGAGTCCGGTGTAGAGGCAGTAGAGTCGGTGTAGTAGAGGCAGTAGAGTCAGGTGTAGAGGCAGTAGAGTCAGGTTGAGAGGCAGTAGAAGTAGAGTCAGGTAGAGAGGCAGTAGAGTCAGGTGGAGAGGCAGTAGAGTCAGGTGTAGAGGCAGTAGAGTCAAGGTGGAGAGGCAGTAGAGTCAGGTGGAGAGGCAGTAGAGTCAGTGTAGAGGCAGTAGAGTCAGGTGGAGAGGCAGTAGAGTCAGGTTGAGAGGCAGTACAGTCAGGTGGAGAGGCAGAGAGTACAGGTGGAGAGGCAGTAGAGTCAGGTGGAGAGGCAGTAGAGTCAGGTTGAGAGGCAGTAGAGTCAGGTGGAGAGGCAGTAGAGTCAGGTGGAGAGGCAGTAGAGTCAGGTGGAGAGGCAGTAGAGTCAGGTTGTAGAGGCAGTAGAGTGAAGTGTAGAGGCAGTAGAGTCAGGTGGAGAGGCAGTAGAGTCAGGTGGAGAGGCAGTAGAGTCAAGTGGAGAGGCAGTAGAGTCAGGTGGAGAGGCAGTAGAGTCAGGTGGAGAGGCAGTAGAGTCAGGTGGAGAGGCAGTAGAGTCAGGTGGAGAGGCAGTAGAGTCAGGTTGAGAGGCAGTACAGTCAGGTGGAGAGGCAGTACAGGTGGAGAGGCAGTAGTCAGGTGGAGAGGCAGTAGAGTCAGGTGGAGAGGCAGTAGAGTCAGGTGGAAGCAGTAGAGTCAGGTGGAGAGGCAGTAGAGTCAGGTGGAGAGGCAGTAGAGTCAGGTGGAGAGGCAGTAGAGTCAGGTGGAGAGGCAGTAGAGTCAGGTGGAGAGGCAGTAGAGTCAGGTGGAGAGGCGAGAGTTCAGGTGGAGAGGCAGTAGAGTCAGGTGGAGAGGCAGTAGTCAGGTGGAGAGGCAGTAGAGTCAGGTGAGAGGCAGTAGAGTCAGGTTGAGAGGCAGCAGAGTCAGGTGGAGAGGCAGTAGAGTCAGGTGGAGAGGCAGTAGAGTCAGGTGGAGAGGCAGTAGAGGCAGTAGAGTCAGGTGGAGAGGCAGTAGAGTCAGGTTAAGACAAGATGAAAATACGTGGGGCAGACATTTTTGTTAATGGCTTTGGGTTTGAGAATGACGTGCCTAGTATGGGCCAGTAGGCCTACTGCAGTGTTTCTCCTTTCTTAAGACTAAGCGACGCCACTTACGAGGGAGGGGGAGGAGGGGGCTGCAGGAGCCGTGATTCGACCCCGGGCGAACACAGGTAGGTGAACACACATCAGAGGTCAAGACAAGTGCAGTGACATCACCAGCCAGAATGATGTCACACACCGGCTCACCTGATCGGCCTTTCCTTATAATCCACAGTCTTTGTTCAGTCTTACCTCTTGACGGGACGGAAGAGAGAGGAGAGGGAGGGGAGAGGGAGGGGAGAGGGAGAGGAGAGGGAGAGGAGAGGAGGGAGAGGAGAGGGAGAGGAGAGGGAGAGGAGAGGGAGAGGAGAGGGAGAGGAGAGGAGGGAGAGGAGAGGAGGGAGAGGAGAGGAGGGAGAGGAGAGGGAGAGGAGAGGGAGAGGAGAGGAGGGAGAGGAGAGGGAGAGGAGAGGGAGAGGAGAGGGAGAGGAAAGGGAGAGGAAAGGGAGAGGAAGAGGGGGAATGTTGGTACCTTTAATATACCCGTGGCAAGTTCTGGACAACTTCGACTCCCACAGTCTAGCCTGAAGGCAGACTACTGACTCCCACAGTCTAGCCTGAAGGCAGACTACTGACTCCCACAGTCTAGCCTGAAGGCAGACTACTGACTCCCACAGTCTAGCCTGAAGGCAGACTACTGACTCCCACAGTCTAGCCTGAAGGCAGACTACTGACTCCCACAGTCTAGCCTGAAGGCAGACTACTGACTCCCACAGTCTAGCCTGAAGGCAGACTACTGACTCCCACAGTCTAGCCTGAGGGCAGACTACTGACTCCCACAGTCTAGCCTGAAGGCAGACTACTGACTCCCACAGTCTAGCCTGAAGGCAGACTACTGACTCCCACAGTCTAGCCTGAAGGCAGACTACTGACTCCCACAGTCTAGCCTGAAGGCAGACTACTGACTCCCACAGTCTAGCCTGAAGGCAGACTACTGACTCCCACAGTCTAGCCTGAAGGCAGACTACTGACTCCCACAGTCTAGCCTGAAGGCAGACTACTGACTCCCACAGTCTAGCCTGAAGGCAGACTACTGACTCCCACAGTCTAGCCTGAAGGCAGACTACTGACTCCCACAGTCTAGCCTGAAGGCAGACTACTGACTCCCACAGTCTAGCCTGAAGGCAGACTACTGACTCCCACAGTCTAGCCTGAAGGCAGACTACTGACTCCCACAGTCTAGCCTGAAGGCAGACTACTGACTCCCACAGTCTAGCCTGAAGGCAGACTACTGACTCCCACAGTCTAGCCTGAAGGCAGACTACTGACTCCCACAGTCTAGCCTGAACACTACTGACTCCCACAGTCTACCCTGAACACTACTGACTCCCACAGTCTAGCCTGAAGGCAGACTACTGACTCCCACAGTCTAGCCTGAACACTACTGACTCCCACAGTCTAGCCTGAACACTACTGACTCCCACAGTCTAGCCTGAACACTACTGACTCCCACAGTCTAGCCTGAACACTACTGACTCCCACAGTCTAGCCTGAACACTACTGACTCCCACAGTCTAGCGTGAAGGCAGACTACTCACTCCCACAGTCTAGCCTGAAGGCAGACTACTGACTCCCACAGTCTAGCCTGAAGGCAGACTACTGACTCACAGTCTAGCCTGAAGGCAGACTACTGACTCCCACAGTCTAGCCTGAAGGCAGACTACCGACTCCCACAGTCTAGCCTGAAGGCAGACTACTGACTCCCACAGTCTAGCCTGAAGGCAGACTACTGACTCCCACAGTCTAGCCTGAAGGCAGACTACTGACTCCCACAGTCTAGCCTGAAGGCAGACTACTGACTCCCACAGTCTAGCCTGAAGGCATACTACTGACTCCCACAGTCTAGCCTGAAGGCAGACTACTGACTCTCACAGTCTAGCCTGAAGGCAGACTACTGACTCCCACAGTCTAGCCTGAAGGCAGACTACTGACTCCCACAGTCTAGCCTGAAGGCAGACTACTGACTCCCACAGTCTAGCCTGAAGGCAGACTACTGACTCCCACAGTCTAGCCTGAAGGCAGACTACTGACTCCCACAGTCTAGCCTGAAGGCAGACTACTGACTCCCACAGTCTAGCCTGAAGGCAGACTACTGACTCCCACAGTCTAGCCTGAAGGCAGACTACTGACTCCCACAGTCTAGCCTGAAGGCAGACTACTGATTCCCACAGTCTAGCCTGAAGGCAGACTACTGACTCCCACAGTCTAGCCTGAAGGCAGACTACTCACTCCCACAGTCTAGCCTGAAGGCAGACTACTGACTCCCACAGTCTAGCCTGAAGGCAGACTACTCACTCCCACAGCCTAGCCTAAAGACAGCTCTTTTCGGCTGTTTGTCTGGTTCGCTACACTGTTGCGGCTGGCATACCTCTAGTTAAAATGGCTCTTAAGAATACATGACGGAGCACTGCAATAGGCCTACTGGCCCATGATGAGCGTGCAACACCTGGACTTCATTCGAAGTGTTGCACCTGTGTTGCAGCTTCAGTTTTATACAGAAATGAATCCAGGAATGAAATTCCTGACTCCCGAAATCGCAATGACACGATTATAAACAAACCATACCACGGGCGGGGCTTGAACCCGCGATCAGAGTCACAAAACTCCAGACCGACGCGCTAGCCACTGGATCAGCTGGCTACAATAAGCTTAAGCTAGTTACAAGTGTACTGACTGATGTTGTAGTGGCCAAACCTAAGCTTGGTTACAAATACTGATGGTTTGGTTAAGTTCGTCTCGGTATTCGACTGATAAAGCCTGCTATGTGGGCGATACCCTTCTGGAATAAATGAATTATCTGTGTATTTCTTACCAGTTTCTAGTCCTGTAATATTTACCCTTCATATTAGAAGTCTGATAGATCGGACCCCATCAAGTCGATCTGGCAGCTGAGTAGACGAGCGACCACCGGACCAATGAAAGGTAAGGTACAGTAGGTCCACAGTCTACAATATATAGGTCTACAATAGGCCTACAAGAGGTCTACAGCCAAGTTTACAAGAGATCTGCTACAGGTCTGCAACGTCTACCGCAGCTTCACAGGTCTACTTCGGCTCCATCTACCACACATCTACCACAAGTCTACAAGATCGAGGCTACACTTACCATGATCAACTACGAACATGTCACCAGAGTGTCACCATTATGTCACCATAGTGTCACCATTCAACGTACCTGTAAAAATAGAGAAGAGAGGTTGAAAATGACGATAGCGATGATAATGATGATGGTAATGGTGATGAACAGTAATTATTATAGCGGTGTTAATAGCAATAATAACGGTAACAAAAAAAACAGCAATAATAACACTAATAAAAAATAATAGCGATACTAACAGTAATAATAAAAATTAATAGCAACAATAACAGTAATAATAATAATAATAATAATAACAATAATAATAATAATAATAATAATAATAATAATAATAATAATAATAATAATAGTGGGTACTGCAGAAGAAGCAATACAGTGTGCAACAGACAAGGTTGTGGCAGGTCAACAAGAGATAGTAAGAACCTTCGTAATGGTGTAAATCTGAGATCTTGGGAGACACTATGACGCCTCCCAACCACAACCACGATCCCAGGATGATTCATTTAGACACAGGAGGTCGGATGAGGCCTCCCAACCACGACCATGATCCCAGGATGATTCATTTAGACACAGGAGGTCGGATGAGGCCTCCCAACCACGACCATGATCCCAGGATGATTCATTTAGACACAGGAGGTCGGATGAGGCCTCCCAACCACGACCACGATCCCAGGATGATTCATTTAGACACAGGAGGTCGGATGAGGCCTCCCAACCACGACCACGATCCCAGGATGATTCATTTAGACACAGGAGGTCGGATGAGGCCTCCCAACCACGACCACGATCCCAGGATGATTCATTTAGACACAGGAGGTCGGATGAGGCCTCCCAACCACGACCACGATCCCAGGATGATTCATTTAGACACAGGAGGTCGGATGAGGCCTCCCAACCACGACCACGATCCCAGGATGATTCATTTAGACACAGGAGGTCGGATGAGGCCTCCCAACCACGACCACGATCCCAGGATGATTCATTTAGACACAGGAGGTCGGATGAGGCCTCCCGACCACGACCACGATCCCAGGATGATTCATTTAGACACAGGAGGCCGGATGAGGCCTCCCAACCACGACCACGATCCCAGGATGATTCATTTAGACACAGGAGGCCGGATGAGGCCTCCCAACCACGACCACGATCCCAGGATGATTCATTTAGACACAGGAGGCCGGATGAGGCCTCCCAACCACGACCACGATCCCAGGATGATTCATTTAGACACAGGAGGCCGGATGAGGCCTCCCAACCACGACCACGATCCCAGGATGATTCATTTAGACACAGGAGGTCGGATGAGGCCTCCCAACCACGACCACGATCCCAGGATGATTCATTTAGACACAGGAGGTCGGATGAGGCCTCCCAACCACGACCACGATCCCAGGATGATTCATTTAGACACAGGAGGTCGGATGAGGCCTCCCAACCACAACCACGATCCCAGGATGATTCATTTAGACACATGAGGTCGGATGAGGCCTCCCAACCACAACCATGATCCCAGGATGATTCATTTAGACACATGAGGTCGGATGAGGCCTCCCAACCACAACCACGATCCCAGGATGATTCATTTAGACACAGGAGGTCGGATGAGGCCTCCCAACCACGACCACGATCCCAGGATGATTCATTTAGACACAGGAGGTCGGATGAGGCCTCCCAACCACGACCACGATCCCAGGATGATTCATTTAGACACAGGAGGTCGGATGAGGCCTCCCAACCACGACCACGATCCCAGGATGATTCATTTAGACACAGGAGGTCGGATGAGGCCTCCCAACCACGACCACGATCCCAGGATGATTCATTTAGACACAGGAGGTCGGATGAGGCCTCCCAACCACGACCACGATCCCAGGATGATTCATTTAGACACAGGAGGTCGGATGAGGCCTCCCAACCACGACCACGATCCCAGGATGATTCATTTAGACACAGGAGGTCGGATGAGGCCTCCCAACCACGACCACGATCCCAGGATGATTCATTTAGACACAGGAGGTCGGATGAGGCCTCCCAACCACGACCACGATCCCAGGATGATTCATTTAGACACAGGAGGTCGGATGAGGCCTCCCAACCACGACCACGATCCCAGGATGATTCATTTAGACACAGAGGTCGGATGAGGCCTCCCAACCACGACCACGATCCCAGGATGATTCATTTAGACACAGGAGGTCGGATGAGGCCTCCCAACCACGACCACGATCCCAGGATGATTCATTTAGACACAGGAGGACGGATGAGGCCTCCCAACCACGACCACGATCCCAGGATGATTCATTTAGACACAGGAGGTCGGATGAGGCCTCCCAACCACAACCATGATCCCAGGATGATTCATTTAGACACAGGAGGTCGGATGAGGCCTCCCAACCACGACCACGATCCCAGGATGATTCATTTAGACACAGGAGGTCGGATGAGGCCTCCCAACCACAACCATGATCCCAGGATGATTCATTTAGACACAGGAGGTCGGATGAGGCCTCCCAACCACAACCACGATCCCAGGATGATTCATTTAGACACAGGAGGTCGGATGAGGCCTCCCAACTACAACCACGATCCCAGGATGAT